CCATCCACTTTCATAGCCCCACTATACATAAGGTAAATTACTTTACGCTTAATCCAACGTAATGCACCAAGTTTGCGCAAATTACACAGGAGTCTAGAGTGACCTTCACAAGTTCAATATCAAGGCTTGCAGCAAGTGAACGCACGAGTCTATAACTTGATCTAGACGCCGAGTCACGAACGCAACCTAGACCTGTTCGACTTTGAAATGCTGTTTGCTTTACATGGCTTTTACTTGGCGCGAGACCGTAAAGGAATCGGTTGCTCCGTACTACAAATGTTAAAAAGAGCTTGCGTGTTTTATTGGACCATGATTTGTTGAAACTTGTACTGTTATTTGTGGCCGTTAAAGGGTATTTATATTGGCAATTTGATGCTAATGGAACGAAATCTATGTAGATAAATTAAATAGTTATTCTACTGTGTATAAGAAACTATATCGAGAATTAATAATTATAATAATAATGTCCTCCAGACCGAATTTCGTCCTTGGCGGCCTGCCTCAACGGAGACTAACCATCGGCGCAGGACAGGATTATACTCGTAGTTCCCAAGTGTATACCCAAGCACAGGTGCACTCTCTATTCCCTTACTCTCATGGTCCGATGGGACGATAAATCGACACAACCGGAGAAAGTTCAGGCGCAGGACCAACGGCTTTACGTGCTTTCCGAGGCACGGGGGTGAGACACCGCCAACTTCCTGACTCCGGGAAACTACTGAGAATTTCTTGACGGAAAAACTCAATAATTAATTTTTTGGCCCGACCCGGGATTCGAACCCAAGACCTCATGATCAGCAGTCGCGCTACTACAACCACTAGACCAACGAGGCAATATCGAGAATTACACTGTTAACTACAACTTTACACCTCTTACTAGACACAGGCGGCTCTAATACCTGAGAGGGTTTTAGGTCAAGGAACATTTCACCGCACTGCGCCAATGCAGTTGCCCTTATTTTAAATTTCGTCAAATTTGTCGAACATGCAGATCTCCTCTCGATGTTATCCTTCACTCCCGATCACTAGAAAATAGCTCACAAGTCATCATCATCATCATCATTACAGCCCTTCACAAGTCCACTGCTGAACATAGGCCACACCAAGGAATGCCACAAAGCACGGTACTGAGCCACCTGCAACAACAACATCAACTTCCTGCATGTCTTAGCAGGTCGTCACTCCATCTAGTGGGGGTCACCTTACACTACGCCTACCGGTACGAGGCTGCCATTCGAGAACATATTTTCCTCGCTCGCAAGTAACGGTTTCAATAGTATCGGTGGGAATCCAATTGTTATTTATAAAGTAACCGGCACAAGCACTCTTTTAATCTTCTTTTTAAAATAAAACTAGCTGAACCCAGCAGACGTCGTCCTGCCAGTTAATATCGTAGGTTGTGGCCAGCAATGTTTAAGCGCATGCCATTTAATGTATTAATTGCCGCGCTTGACTGAAAAAGAGCAAATTAAAAGAAATTGTTTGTTTCTCAATTATTTTTATTTTTTTTAGTTTATAAATATTCTTATTCTTATTTTTAATATTCTTCTCCATTGAAAAAAACATATTATGTATACCAATTTTCATGGCGATCGATCAAACTCTAAGAACTGATTACCAATGATGAAAAAAGGTTCTCAAGTGGCAGCCTCGTACCGGCAGGTGAAGTTTAGGGTTTTCCCCCACTAAATGGAGTGACGACCTGGTAAGGCATGCAGGAAGTCGATGGATGCTGGTGACTCCAGACCGTGCTTTGTGACATTCCTTGAGGGATGCCTATATTTAGCGGTGGATTTGTGAAAGGCTGCTGTAATGATGATAAATGAAGTTATTACGACATTGTGTTTTTTTCTCTGTCCACCTCCTAGTTTTGTTTATCCATATTAACCTCACGTACCTTAGTTTTTATTGCAATTACCTCTGAGATATACAATCTTATTGCATGCCTTAAAAGCAAAGTGCGTCGTATGCATATTCTACTAGCGCCTACACATCAATAATCCAACGTTTTTCTCTATGAAATCGTATCTAACAATCATATTGAACATATAAATGATATAAAAAGTACCTTGTCAGAAAGATAAATTATTGTTGACCGTATTATTTCCCTCAAATCGATTAATTGCTATTTTTATATTAAAAAAAGTAGTTTAGTGGCTTATGGAATGGATTTATCAAGTGCGCATGGAGGGGTAAACTCGACAACTTTTGAAAATATCTATTGTTCGACTCATTCTATTTTTTAATCTCTTCATCTGTCATGTGGGAAGACATGGAATGTAAATGGCTGTTTAATTTTTTTTTGTTTATTTGTAATTAATTTTCTTCAGCTGAGAAATTCCGAAATTTTCGGTATCTTGAGCAGCCTTGTAATAAAAAAAATACTAAATAGAGATAGATACACTTTGACTCACTGCGGGCTGAGCCACCGTCGTGAGTGGGTTACTGTATCGTTTGTTCACAGCGCAGCTGCTCGTGATGAAAAATATCGATCGCAGTAAAATACAAAAATGTCCCAAAAACCAAATTTGATACATACTTGACCAAGGTAAGATATTATTATTATTATTGGGGTATCTGTATAGTTTTCTCATCTGGTTGGTTTCTAAAAATATATAATTATAAATTAAAATGAAAAGATAAATATACATAAATATCAATAAAATAAAATAAATACAAAAAATAAACTAATAAATAAAGATCCAACCAGATGGAAGCCCTCGGCAGGGGAGACCAAACGGCCGAGGTTTAGGGGGAAAGGGAAAGAAACCAACAGACGATGCGGGCGGTATCGAGGAGCACTCGCCTCGCTCGCCTCAGATGACCCGAGAGGCTGACTGGGATTTGGCCATTCGCAGAGACGACTACAGGAATAATTTCTGTCGGCCGACCACCCCACATATCGGTCACCTCGTGAGCCAGGTCCAAATATTTTGTTTCCTTATCTGTTTCGGCTTTCACGAGGTTCTCGTCATACGGAATGGTAATGTCGACCAAAAATATCCTTGACTGTGCCTGGTCCATCAGCACAATATCAGGCTTATTTGTTCGCAAGAATAGTCCTGTCTGTGATGATGGCCCGGTCCCAGTAGAGCCTGGCGCGGTCATTTTCGAGCACGGCTTCCGGCAAGTACTTCTAATACGGCAATTTCCGGTCCACGAGACCGTATTTCAGAGCGAGCTCCTGGTGTAGAATTCTGGCTACTAGGTTGGGCCTGTGCAAGTACTCGGAGTTAGAAAGCGCCGAACAACCGGAGATGACATGCCTAAGTGACTCCCCTGGATGGCGATAAGCTCGACAGACGTCGACGGTGCCATCCTTTAGGTTGTATCACCGATAGTTGTTGGTCATAATAACCTGATCCTGTATTGCACAGACAAAACAATCGGTTTCTCCGAAGAGGTCACCGAAACGTAGCCAGTTGAGGGAGGCGACTGTATCTACGAAGGGCTCATGTAGAGCCCTGTAGTACCTCCCGTGGAGCTCCTTTTCCTTCCATACGGTCTCCCGGTCGGAAATGCTAAGCACTGCTGGGTCCTGCCACTGCTCGTTGGCTAAGGATAGAGGGATAAGCCCTTTATCACTAGAAATGACGTCATTATAAAATGGATCATCCGATCTCGCCAGGAAGTAATGACGGAGGCTGCACACTTCACGATTATGCATGGTGAGCGCGCTCAGAAAGCCACATCCACCATGCTTTCGCGGCAAGTACAGCCTCATTACCGAAGATCTCGGATGATGCATCCTATGGGACGTCATGGTAGTGCGGACTTTTCTATCCAGGGCGTTAAGTTCAGTCTGAGTCCACCTGAGTATGCCAAAGGTATACATAAGGACAGGCATGACCCAACCGTTATATGCGTGTGTCTTATTCACACCGGACAAAAGGCTATTAAGCACTTTGGTCAAGCGTGCATAAAACACGTCGCAAACTGACTGTTTCATACCAGACTCATCGATACCGATGTTCTGTGACATACCCAGGTATCGGTATGTTTCAGCCTCGGAAAGGGTCCTTAAGTTGCTGGAGGCGAATAACTTGAGGTCATCCATATAGAAAAGGTGCGTCACTTTTGTCCCTCTTTTCCGTAGCTGAAATCCTCTCCCGGATCCCTCCAGTAAGATACTGAGAGGGTTCAGGGAGAGGCAGAAACAGATTGGACTCAGACAATCGCCCTGGAAGATACCCCTTCTTATCCTTATGTGGTTCTCCGCAGCCATCATCCGCTCACCCAGATGACAAAAGATCGTACTCCACTGCCCCATACACTGCTCGAGGAAGTCTCTCACTGTACAGTCTATCTTGTACAACTCGAGAACTCTCCATAGCCATGTATGGGGCACCGAGTCGAATGCCTTTCTGTAGTCTATACAGGCAGCGGAGAAGTTCCGACGGTTGCGTTTCACCACTTTGCCAATGACCGCGTCAATTGGGAGGGGTTCCTTAGTTCCACGACCACCGCCCCGACATCCATTTTGAGCGCGTGACATCACCTGATTTAGCTCCAGGTGACGAGTGATTCTCGCGCTCAAAATGGATGTCAGTGTCTTATATATGGTGGGTAGACACGTAATGGGGCGGTATTTGCTCGGGTCTGTGGTAACCTGGTCTTTAGGAACCAAATGAGTGATCCCAGTAGTGAAGAGGCTAGGGAGCGACTTCTGGTTGAGAGCCTCTTGAAACTGACGGGCGAGCACAGCGTGACACACCATGAACCCACTCAGCCAGTAGTGATGCAGTCCGTCAAGTCCCGGACTTTTCCAGTTCGGGGCTCTACGGACCGCCTCAGCTACGTCATCCAGCGTTATGATGACGGGGTTCATGGGCGTAATACTCGCACACTGACTCGCCACAACTTCCGTCCAAGGGCCCTCGCTGTGGTTTACGGGCTCTGACCACAGGCCACGCCAAAATGCGACAGCGTTAGCCTGCTCCGGTCCTGGGCCCGCTCCACATACCTCTGGTCGCTCCAATGATTTGTAGAGCCTCTTCTGATCACTCTGGAAGGAGACGATTCTGGTTGAACCGCCTTGACCTCTCGGTAAATCGGCGAATCCGCTTCCCCCAAGCAGCAATCTTTTGCTTCAGGTCGTCTATGCGCTCCGTTAGTTTCTGCGTGATATCCGGCTGGGACAAACTGATATTTGCCCCAGCAAACGCCATTCTAACGGTGCGCACAACCCTCGGTCTATTATTACCCGACCTGAAGCTTATCAGTCTGCCGATAAGGGCCCTTGCCTTTGCGATACGGTCCTCAATTCTTTTTCTCCAGGCTGGGATGGCGCTACTTTGTTTAGTAGCGCGTCCAGCCATGGGAAGTTTGGCGCCAATAATACGGCAAGCTGCCACTGCGGCGCCAAAAAGAACTGAGTCCGTCTCGCAAAGGTCCCGGCTGGCTTCCAAATAGATTACCAGCATTGGGTTAAGAGCCCTCACGACAGCCCGATTTCGCTTGCTTAGGGGTATGCGGGGAAGTCGTGGTCGATTTTCGAGAGGCATGCTGCGCGTTTCCAAAATCGCCTCTTCCAATATACTCCTCATTTGCTCTAGTTCGTGGGAGACCATTTCATCATCGTCTGAATCAACCACAACTGGAAGATCCACGGCGGCTTCTACGCGTGGCAGCTGGTCTGTTATTATTATTATTATTAATTTTATAATCACAGATTTTTATTACAATAAACTGTTTCGCTAAAAGTACGTAGGATTTTTAACGAGTACGATTATGAGTTTATGAGCCATGCAATTTTGGATTTTCCAAACTTTTTTTATTGACGTTTGACATAAGATTATCGGAAAATTAGAAGTAATAGTAATAAGGCTATTTATGAAAATTTGTGTGTATTTGAAATATTGTAAATAATTGACGTATAACATGAGCGCTTAAGGCATGCATGCACATTTGGATTTACCAAAAGTTTTTTTTTATACTACATGACCTTGTTTTGTTCTTTAATTAATGCAGCAATAATTCTAATTATAAACTCACAGACGAGTTTATATAATACACTGCAATATATAATATATAATATACTGCAACTCGTAAACTAATCTGCAACAAAAACTATTATGGAGTATTTTTATGATATAGTCCGCTTCAGCGAGATATTTGGTAAAGAATAATTGAGTACAATTTTAGTGGAAGAATACGTTTATAAAAACCATATTTAGCAAAACTCCTGACTTTTAAAAATATAACGCTTAAAGTAGATTTACAAAATAACATCAAATATCCGATCATAGCATTTACTTTTAAGATAAATTAAACTTTTTACTTTTTTGGGTATTTTTTGTATAGAATAAGGGTGACAAACGAGCACACAGTACACCTGATGGTAAGTGGTTGCTGTGGCCCATGTACATCTACATTTATCCACGATTAAGAATCAAAATGCAGAGAATCAAAATGCAGATGTGTTGTCACCCCTGAAGACTGAGATGAAGTGTCTCGTTTAAAAATCTTTTTAAAGGGTCTCCGGTTCTCTACACTCATCATACAAAACACAGCAGCATGAAGCTATTATTTTACGCTGGTACTCTGTGAGAGTGTGGTGAGAGTCTATTCCGGTGGAGCCGACTCATTCATGCTACATCCACGTTATAGCTGTAGCGTGGCTCTACCACTTAATAATAATAATGTAACTTAATAAAAAAACAGGGTGAACTGAAATTACTGGCATCATTTTTAACTATTTTTATAGAATAATTAAGAATATCCTCATGATATAAACTGCGTTCTAGCTAAACTAACTCAATTCTAAAGCTTTAATATTGCAAGTTAAGGAAAATTCTATAAATCATATTATTTCTTTCCCTTTCATCATTACTCCAAATAATCACGAACAAAATTTAAATTTTAATAAAATGAAGAATAAAACCAATAAATCGTAAAACAAGCAACAGTTTCGCATTTGCCATAAATAGCGGCGTCTTCGTACTTTGCATATTTTTATTACTTTTTTATATTTTTATTACTTTATTGGTACTTAGCATACGTTTATTATTATTTTAAACGCGTGTATTTTATATAAATAAAGGTAAAAGTAAAAGTAAAGTAAAGTTACAGCCTATATACGTCCCACTGCTGGGCACAGGCCTCCCCTCATTTCTGAGGGGGTTTTAGGGCAAGGAAGTGTCCGCCGCGCTGCCCCAATGCGTGTTGGCGAACTTCACATGTCTTCGAAATATATATTTTTTATTTTATTATTCCTCAGACATGCAGGTTTCCTCACGATGTTTTCCTTCACCACCGAGCACGTGGTAAATCAGCACTTAAAATTGCAATTAACAATTTCATTGGTACCGGCGGGGCTCGAACCCGGGTTACTCGCGGTCTGTTATATTTACAGCGAGCGTTAACCATCTGAGCTACCACGGCATAAATAAAGGTATAAAAAATTATTTTGTAGTTATTTTTTTGTTAATTTATTTTAACACTTTCCTTTATCTGACTAGAATAATAGATTCAATGCATGACAATGACTTCACTTTCATTCTGTGTAACTTAATACTAAACTAACTAAACTATTACAACTAAAGGTAACTTAAATTGTTAAATACTAGTGTAGTGTTTAACAATTTACAAGTAACTTAAATTATTACCCTTTAGAAAATTCCTGACAAAATCAAATTTTTACTAATTTCCTGGAAGAGGGATTAAATTCCTGAGATCTCATATTTGTGTCGGATGGGGTAGTGACCCCATATAGATTTCACCTCCCCCTGAAATCTTGTGGGTGTCGTTAGATGCGACAGAGAGGAATGAAATAGGAGATGGCAGCAGGGTCTTCCTGATAATAGCTCGAAATAAAAATAAAAACATTACTAGGGTATCACCCGTGGTTGTCGTATGAAGAGAAAACAAAGCAGGAGATGCGCAGGACCGCCTTTGTAATAACAATTAGAAAATTAAAAAAAAACTGCCTAGCGTGGTACTTATAACAAATACAACCGTGGTAGGACAATCTATGTAGGCGGTCAATATTCAGAGTTGACTTATCATAATCTCTAATAAATAAATAATAATGAACTATAATCTAAAAATCAAATACGGACGCTAATAAAAATTACTAGATGCAATATTATTTAAATAAGCTATTTACAAAGGTGTATTAATGTATTCTCTTATTACATGTTTAACGCGTTGGACGCTGACCGGAATGATCTAGCCGCATTTGTCTCGTGCGAAGTTGAGGCAGGTCATGAACAAGGTGAACGGCAGTCGCATTCCCATGTCATACATATTAATGATTATACATCGATTTTGTACTCGATTTTGGTAAAATTGCGATTTTCTGGCGTAGTGTGTAAGTTAGTTTCGGATTATAAAGTTACTTTTATAATTTCATATTAACATATTATTATTTAATAACCTCTAACGACTCTGATCTCTCAAAATGATTTCAGGCTCATTCTGCGTAGGCTGAACTAAAAAAAACGGAACGAGCTCGACTCGAGAACTTTTCTTCTTCATAGGGTTTCGGTTCTTCAAGCTACATACATGACCGACCCATTCCCACTTTAGCTCCGTTATCGGCATCCACGTCATCAGCATCCCTTTTAACTCACGATTTTTCTAATATAATGGAATAACAATTTTGTTTTTCTATACATACTTTTGTGACATATATGGAGCTTACAGCTTTATTTACTTTGTACATCACTTTATTTGATCTTACATGCCAATAAAAATCTTCCACACATAAGCAGAATGCATTCACAACAAAACGTACTCAGATAAACCACTTACGAAATCCATTGTAAAAGTATTCGTAGTAAATACTATTTACAGAATAAGTCTAAATCGTCGTCTTCAGGATACTTACTACCATTAACATTAAAGCCAGTCCACCACGGAACATAGGCCTCCCAGATCGATTGCCTATGGCAAATGGTTTGGCTGCTGCCCATCTCCTGACTTGTCTCACTCTGTTGGCTGCTGCCCATCTCCTGACTTGTCTCACTCTGTTGGCTGCTGCCCATCTCCTGACTTGTCTCACTCTGTTGGCTGCTGCCCATCTCCTGACTTGTCTCACTCTGTTGGCTGCTGCCCATCTCCTGACTTGTCTCACTCTGTTGGCTGCTGCCCATCTCCTGACTTGTCTCACTCTGTTGGCTGCTGCCCATCTCCTGACGTGTCTCACTCTGTTGGCTGCTGCCCATCTCTCGACTTGTCTCACTCTGTTGGCTGCTGCCCATCTCCTGACTTGTCTCACTCTGTTGGCTGCTGCCCATCTCCTGACTTGTCTCACTCTGTTGGCTGCTGCCCATCTCCTGACTTGTCTCACTCTGTTGGCTGCTGCCCATCTCCTGACTTGTCTCACTCTGTTGGCTGCTGCCCACCTCCTGACTTGTCTCACTCTGTTGGCTGCTGCCCATTTCCTGACTTGTCTCACTCTGTTGGCTGCTGCCCATCTCCTGACTTGTCTCACTCTGTTGGCTGCTGCCCACCCTACTGTCCCATCTGCCCATCCTGACTTGTCTCACTCTGTTGGCTGCCCCATCTCCTGACTTGTCTCACTCTGTCTGCTCTCTGACTTGTGGCTGCTGCCCATCTCCTGACTTGTCTCACTCTGTTGGCTGCTGCCCATCTCCTGACTTGTCTCACTCTGTTGGCTGCTGCCCATCTCCTGACTTGTCTCACTCTGTTGGCTGCTGCCCATCTCCTGACTTGTCTCACTCTGTTGGCTGCTGCCCATCTCCTGACTTGTCTCACTCTGTTGGCTGCTGCCCATCTCCTGACTTGTCTCACTCTGTTGGCTGCTGCCCATCTCCTGACTTGTCTCACTCTGTTGGCTGCTGCCCATCTCCTGACTTGTCTCACTCTGTTGGCTGCTGCCCATCTCCTGACTTGTCTCACTCTGTTGGCTGCTGCCCATCTCCTGACTTGTCTCACTCTGTTGGCTGCTGCCCATCTCCTGACTTGTCTCACTCTGTTGGCTGCTGCCCATCTCCTGACTTGTCTCACTCTGTTGGCTGCTGCCCATCTCCTGACTTGTCTCACTCTGTTGGCTGCTGCCCATCTCCTGACTTGTCTCACTCTGTTGGCTGCTGCCCATCTCCTGACTTGTCTCACTCTGTTGGCTGCTGCCCATCTCCTGACTTGTCTCACTCTGTTGGCTGCTGCCCATCTCCTGACTTGTCTTTACAATACTGTAATAGCATACTTTGGACCATGTAGTGGAGGAATTAGAATATCCATTACCCCATATCATCTCCTGACTTGTCTCACTCTGTTGGCTGCTGCCCATCTCCTGACTTGTCTCACTCTGTTGGCTGCTGCCCATCTCCTGACTTGTCTCACTCTGTTGGCTGCTGCCCATCTCCTGACTTGTCTCACTCTGTTGGTTGCTGCCCATCTCCTGACTTGTCTCACTCTGTTGGCTGCTGCCCATCTCCTGACTTGTCTCACTCTGTTGCCTCTTGCGACACCCACGGGATGATATGGGGTAATGGATATTCTAATTCCTCCACTACATGGTAAAATACTTTTTAAATAACCTCAAAGTATTGCTATAAAGCTGTTACTTCTATAATTTATATGACAAGTTGGAACATGGAATAATAAATTTTGCATAGTATTTTTAACAGGAGAGATTTTACTAAGAAGCTCCGGACAATCCATTTCACTTTGTGCGATTTTTATTAGAAAACAGACGTCAGCCATGAGACATAACAAGTGAGTGACACAAGACCAAAATACCAAAAATTTTTGCTGAATAAATTCTGACTGCATCAGAATTTTAAGGCCTAGTCTACAAAGTAATCTTACTGCGAAACGACTGTTTTACAACAAACTAATACGTATGTATCCGTGGGTGTAATCAAGGGCTGTATTTCATATTTTATGCTAACTTCCTACCACACTTAACAATATAACTACAGAAGTGATTAATACTGACATTTACCGTGCATTGGTCAGTAACCTGTTCATAAAGGTAAAGTTGTATACGGAAACAAGCCATGATGTCGAATGCTTTATGAAATTGTGCCTGCAGTTTATCTATACGAGGTTCTTTAAAAAAAGCTCGAAACAATCCACAGATTAGCTTAAACGTGGTAGAGCCACGCTGTAGCTATATCATCGTTTTAGCACCCCATTACATTTTTAATTTCGCCGATTGAAATCATAATGAAGTTAATAATATTTGAAACAGGATTCTCGTTTGTGTTTTTTATTTTTTTTATTTTTCTTCAAGCCCACTATGTTTATTGATTATCACACTGTTATACTTTATACTATTCATATTTTATACGTAATCTCGAGTTGGCTCGACACTCTCACGCTATTGTACACTGGTTTTCTACCATCGTTAAATAGCAGCTTAATGCTGCTGTGTTTCCTACGGTGAGTGTAGAGAACCGTAGACCCTTATTATCGAAAATGAGGCATTTCATCTCCCCAATTCAAGTTTTTTTTTGTACGCATGTTACACGATATATTCGTCAATTTTAAACCGCTTTCGATAATTCGTTTTTTATCCGTTATTTAAATGGGTTATATTTCTGGGGTGGTTGCATATGTTTATACGTGGTGGGCCATGCTGTAGTTATATTAGTAGTATAGTTGTAGCACGAATGGGTCGGCTCGACCGGGGAAGGACTGTGCTCTCACAGAATACCAGCGTAAAATAGCAGCTGCTGTGTTTCTTATGTTAAGTGTAGAGAAGTGGAGACCCGTTTACTGGAAACGAGGCATTTCATTTTAGTCCTCAACACATCTGCAATTTGATTTTAAATCGAGGATAGATGTAGATGTCTATAGACCGCAGCAACCACTTACCACCAGGTAGACTGTGTGCTAGTTTGTCACCATATCCTATTACAAAAATGTATAGAGTTACAAAATTCCTGCCCCAAGGGTATTAGAATTGGAGATGAAGTTTTCAAAGTCACTATTTCGACGAAATTGAGATTGTGAAATTCCTCCACTTTAAAGGGTAAAAACAAATATTTTTGAGCCGTATAAGTAGTGGCGACGTATGAGATTACACGACTCCATAAGGTACTCTGTAGAAATGAATTGGCTAATGATATACATAATAATACTTTATGTAAATAGTTATTCTTTGATTAATTACCATTACAATGTTTATTTTCTTCCTTTTCTTTGTTTATTTTTTTTTACATTACCCCTACAATAAGATTTTCTCTTGTATTGTGGGGGCAGTTTACAAACATAAATTGCACAAGGACGAACATCCAGACCCGGAACAACTACTTGTAGGCCATACAAATACTTGTTCCGTGCGGGATTCGAACCCGCGACCCCCAGCGCAGCCACTCATTGCTAAGCCACTGCGCCGCGGAGTCGTCAGTCGTAGTGTATTTAAGCCCACAGCTGCACATAGGCCTCGTCATTTGTTTTCACCATACTTGGCAATCGGGTTGGCAATCGGGTTGGCAACCGGGTTGGCAACCGCAGTTTATTTAATTTTACTAGAAAAAATGCTGCTGCCCATCTCCTGATTTGTTTCCCTCTATAGCCTCTTACGACACCCACTCTTACGGTGATTAGTTACTAAGATAATTTATATGACGTGTAATTAAGAAAAAATATTTCTGGTGACTTTTTTATACATTTCAGATTTTGCATTATTTGTAGCTTTATTACATGAATAAATTCACACATGTTTATCGAATGCTCGATACCGGCGTCATCAGAATAACTGAGCTACGGTAGCATCACTGTAGCACCATGTTAAGTTGTTGCTGCAATTCTATACTTGTACAACTAATTCAATCTTATTTTCTATTATTAAGACTGTATTGTAGCCTAAAATAAAATTCTTTCTTTCTTTCTTTTATACCATCTCGTAGGTGTTGTAAGAGGTAATAAAAACAATAGATGACATGCATCTTCCTGATAACAACTCTAAATAATAAAAAACTGCGGTTGCCAAGCAGCCTGCCAAGCGTGGCAATTATGGCAAATATTCTTCTTATGAGACAATCCATGCCCAGCAGTGGACTTTAAATAGGCGGTGGTTTAAATGGCAATGAAGTTAATGCAGATAAGAACATAAAACTAAAGCCTAAAACGGTTATACTCGTATGACGAAAAGTCACAGTTAGGGTGCGATATATCCATTATATCATTTATTTTACCTTCACCACCAAAAAGCGATTAAGTAATATTTAAAAATGCAGTTAAATATTTAATTGCTATCGACAACACGTACTACTTTGCAATTTAATATGCAAAATCTAAGCTTTTTGACAAAACGAACTAATTATTATTTAGAACAAAAAGTTAGAGTTAAAGTTGCGTTATAAAAAAACTTAGCATTTATGCAACTAGAACTTTAAACACTATGATACACTAACAACGTTCTGGGCAGGTTAAGTTAAAAGTTAGCGGAGACGCCACGAGGGGTCGGATAGGGCGACTTTTCAGAGGTTTTCCATAAATTAGCAGCCGTCGGTGGAGTGACGTTGCACCCTCGTACAGTTACTGACATTAAAACTGATCCATACAATTAACTAAACTAGACCGTGTTATGTAGAAAATGATCTAACACACAAAACTGGCAGAAATAATGAAACAGAGGCACTTTTTCAGTTTATTTCTCGGTATTAAAGACTTCTGAAAAAGAACAAGTATTCAAAATTCAAATTTCTATATACGTGATATAGTAATAGTAATATTACTACATCTTTCAAATCAGAATAAGTATATGTGTTTGTGGGTTGAAACATTTCTGCATGACACGGTCAAATTATAATTAACATATTAACGTTAATTAGTCATATATTAGACCTGTGGATGTATTACCAGCTCATTAAACGAAAAACTGAAAATGCTTACTCGAAATATCCCTATTTTACTTTCGATTAAAGCTTTAAGTTGTTAACTTTAGTCTTACAAGAATAAGTTGTTTACACTATAGTTCCTAAATTTAATTTTCAATTGTTCGATTTTAAACAAGGGAATAAATAAAAGTACTCTCATAGAATACCAGCGTAAAATAGCAACAAAATGCTACTGTATCGTATGTTGAGTGTGGATAACCGGAGTAACTTATAACTTTTGAATAGGTATTCCATAATAGTTTTAAGGATGATGATGCATTTTTATGTAGCACGACCACAGCATCCACTTTCTAACAGATAGACTTTTCAGTCGTTAGTCACCTTTGATTGTGTACAAGGTAAAGCTGAGCGTAGTTCTCTACTTGCTGCTCTCGTCATGATTTTTCTGCACCACGGATCACGTGATAAATTGTTATAATATTGACAAAATCTAGTAAGCCTTACAACACTTGGTAATATAAAAATACATAATAAGACTAACGTATAAAATAAATAAAACAAAACAAAAAGATTTTTTTCTGTTGAGTTACTAGTAAATTTGGCCGCAATTACACCCATCTGTCAATAACTTTTCCCATGCATCGCGCGAAACAAATGACGGAAGTTGGCGAGACTTTACAAAAACTACATCCGCCAAGTTCCGATGGAAAAATTCTCTTCAACTTCGCATTGCGCTCATTGAATTCGGCGTTTTTTCTTATAAAAATAGGCTGATGAGCCAATGCTGTTACGTCACCAATCTGTCACATTTGAGGTAGATTTTCCGCCATCACACGAGCACAAGAGTTACTTCCATCGATCTGAAAGGTGCACCACGTGCTGATAAAGTTAGCTCTTAGAGAAAAATTTGCCATATAACCCCTTACACCCCAAATTCATCAAAAAAGTAAACTTCTGTGTACGTCCTACTGCTACACGTAAACCTCTTCTCATTTCTGACAGGGCTATATAGCCATTTGGTTGTCGCGGGCTACTTAAATGCGTGTTGGTCGGTCGAGGTTACCTCACGATGTTTTCCTTTACTGCTTTATAATCTTTATCATCATCATTATTGCAGACCATCATAAGTAGCTACACAGCTAGCACGTAGTGAATCAGCATTTAACAATTTTTTCTTTTTTTTTTTTATAGAAGAGGGGGCAAACGAGCATACGGTTCACCTGATGTTAAGTGACTACCGCAGCCCATGAACAACCGCAACACCAGGGGAGTAGTTGCAGATGCGTTGTCGGCCCTTTAAAAAGGAGTAAGCTCTTTTCTTGAAGATCCCCAGGTCGTATCGGTCTGGAAAAATCGCCGGTGGTAAACTATTCTACAGAGAAGTCGTACGCGGAAGAAAATTCCTAATGAAACGTACAGTGGTGGCCTGCCAAGCATCCAGAAGGTGTGGATGATGATGGTTTGCCGCGTAATGCATGGAATTAATCCGAACAATTCCTCAGAGTACTCTCCGTGGTAGATGCAATAAAATACGCAAAGAGATGCAACATCTTTTCGCAGCGTCAGTGAATCGAGCCGATCGGAAAGCACTCGGTCGTCGACGATT